TTGGCTGCTACCTTGACATGAGAGACCTTTGAGGAGAAAAAGAGAGAGAGAGGGAGAGAGAGAGGATCTTGTGGGGAGCTTGTGAGGGGATTCACAAGGGTTGCTTCAAGGATCGTCTGCTTGTCTTTCCTCTGAGTTTCTCGTCCGTGGAAGGTCGTAGAGGTAAGGAGTTTGCTTTTGGTTGTGGTTCTCTGCCAGCTTAAGGAGAAGCAAAAGGAGGTAGGTTCTCTACCTTGCGGGGTGGCAAAAAGGAGGTTCTTGTGAGGCTCTCTCGCCTAGCCGTGGGGCTAAAGGAGAGTCACGTTTTGTAGTGCAATACTTGGAGGGTGCTCCAAGGAGTGGACGTAGTCGAAGTTGACCGAACCACTATAAAATTTCTGTGTTCTTTTTCTTGCTTCCGCACTTTTTAATTCCGCATTTATTTCTGTGGTGTGATTTGGTTTATGCAATTTTTATTCTTTGTGAAAAAGAGTTTTTAAAATAACATTCACCCCTCTTGGTTAGCTTGGGACTTAAGTTCAATAGGGCTTAACATCCCGAACGAACTTTCAAGTGGTATCAGAGCGGGATTCAAAATTTAAGTTTGAAAACTTTTTGATTTTATCTATGGCTAACTTTGGGAATATAAAATACTACTGAAGGTTATTCGATTACACGACATCCTCTGTTTGAACTTACCTTTGATTTTTTGGAAAATCCGCATGTCAACGTTTTTTTACAATCTACTGATTATCGCATGTGGATGCTTATTCAATGAAGGTTATTCTCCCACCTTCTCGTGAAATTAATGGCATTAAAACTGAAGTTGCTTTACTGAATGGACTTTCGATGAACGAGATTTAGCACAATTAAATGCAAAATATTTGAACTGTTTTTTCTGTGCTTTGAAATCTGAAGACTACATGCGTGTTTGTACTTTGTTCAAAGGTAAGGAATTTGGGATAGGTATGTATCACCTATGAAGGAACCAATGAAGTAATAATCTAGGTTAAATATTCTTCTGCATGACTACAACTTTTTCGTATGAAACCATCTGAAACTATTTCTGACCATGTACACTAGTTTACACAAATTGGGTTAACTATCAAACTGC